GGAAAGTACTTTTGGTCTTAAGCAGTGTCAGGTGCCTTGGGTGTTTCATGTTGCAGCATGGCAACTCCTTTTTTAATTATTAAACCAGAAAGACTTTGTTCGTTATGAGTTGGGATAAAATGCAGAAACAGAGCAGATTGTACAAAGGGGAAGTGAAACCTTTTTGGCAAAACACAAGTTTTGTTGTGTTTTGATGGCTTTGCTTTTCGGGAGATCTTAGGTACATAAAAGTCTGCTCCCACCTGGAGCTGTTTCTGCGGTGGCATGCTGAGTCCGTGCGGAGAGATGGCAGCTTAGACCAGCAGTAACTGTATCAGACATGTCTCTGAGTTTCTGCTGAACGTGTCCTGAAGGCTTATCTTTTTTGCTGCAAGTATCGGAAAATAGAGTTTTAAATCTGAGCCTGCGCTGAAAGGAGGTAAAGAGCTGTGTTTGCAGAAAAACCTGATGGTGTAAAAACGTAGATACTCTGTCACGTACACTAGGCATAAGCTGACTGTTTGAAATGCTTAAATAACACTGTCAAGTTGTTTTAAGCAAAGTGGAAGGAAAAAGTCACGACTGAACCGGCAGGCGCAATATTCTGTCGCGCTCTGGAAGAACCGAGCAGCTGACCTGACCTCCCGAGGTGGGCTGGTTGCCTGTATGTGGCAGGACTGATGCTTTGAGGAAAAAACCGGGGAGCACACGATACAGTAAACGTGAGGGTGTCTGCTGCTGTTGCGCAGGTGACAACCCAGAGACCAGCAGAACTCCCAAGATTTTTCAGAAATCCGTTTTCCAAGGGAGCAATTTAAAAGCCTGGTAATGTTCCATTGGATTTACTAAACGAAGGATGGCTGAGACAGCTGAGCAGTTTATACTGCCAGTCATGTGAGCTGTTCTTGGACTGGCCGAAAGTGGTGGTGACAGCTGGGTTAGAACTGGGGTCGTGTTCAGGCAAAGTTCCGCATTATCCCTTGAGGTGTGGCAGTGGTGCTTCCCTTCTGGTGGGTTAATTACTGTCCTTAGACTCTGTATGTCCCTCGGCAGGCGGGGCAGTAGTGCTGCTCTCTTTTGCACCTTCATGTGCGTTTCCATGTACCTTTGGGAATACGTGTCAAGAAGCTTCCTCGGGGATACGCGTAATCCTTTTTAGCTTGCCAGATACTTCCAGCGGGAGGGCTGAACTGAGGGCTCTGGGTGGGAGCGCTTTGTGACGCAAAGGGCTGTGGTGTGCCGGACTTGCAAGCTCTAGGCTGTTTCTTCAGCTGATGCGTCTTGGTTACAGAACGTAACTGCTTGCCCATGGTTTACGTGAGGCGGTATTTGTAGAAAAACTGCCCTGTCCACCAAGTACTTAAAAAGAATATTCAAATCATGACTGAGTCTTAAACCTGAGGATCCCCAGGGAGTTGGTAAACACCTCTTAGGCTATCGGTTGTTTCAACCAGTAACGACTGATGAAAATGCGAAGGCGAGTGTGACTGTACAGCCAGTCATGGTGCTCAGCTACCGCGTGTTTGGCCGCCCTCCAATGGGAGCTTTAGTCCATCTTTTCTGTTCCTCTCACTACCCAGCACTGGAAACTAGTGTAAGATTTGTAAAAAGAAATACATACCCTTTTCCTTTTTGGTTATGTTGCTGTGATTATTTATGGTTACTAATGGGTTTCATAAATGACAGGTCATTCTGCTCAGTCTGTGTTCTTCAGAGGCGTTACCGTGAGAGACTCAGATTGCCACCGTGCTCCTAGTGAAGAGTTACAGGGCGATTTAAAGCACAACCTCCGCAGCTCTGCAGACGATGCTAGTTCAGTGTGCACAAGGAGTTTGGGCCTGTGTTTGAAAAGTTTTGGTGGCTCCCTTCCCTGTGGAAGTCCTCGTCACCTTTATGTCAGACAACAGCAAATAATGGTTGTTTACCTGCGGTCTGTGTGCTCGTCATCCTTCTCTAGCTCGGAAACTTGCAGATGGAACGCTGGGGTTTTTTGGGGATGGGGGAGAGTTGTCAAGACTATGGGCTGGAAAACAGATCAAAACGGCAAGGAAGGGATTATGTAACCATGAGCTGTTCGTTAAACACGGGGTGATTTACGTAACCGCTCCTGCATAGTCTGTGCTCTGAGAGCAAACACGCTGCTTTTTTTTGCACGTAGCAGTCGTATTTGTGCCAGTGTGCCAGCATCATGACACTGAGCGGACCAGCTTCTGGTGGCGGTGACGTAACGGCATGGGCACTGCTGTGGTGGTCCTACGCTCTCTGTGGCAGTTTCACAATCGTATTTTCCCGATTCCATGTCTCTATAGACGTACTTTGATTTCAGAGTCCTCCAACTGTTCGTAAGGCAAATCCTATTTTTGCACCATATTAACAAAGTGCTTTAAATTCTCTGTGTGTGTGCCATCTGCCAGCTTGCTGCCTGTTCCCTCGCAGGTGTGCAGCTCCATCTGTTAAAACACTGCACTTTCCACGTAAGAGAAACAGAACTCGGCAGAGGAAAACTGCTTGCTACTCCATTGCTCTTGGGGAGTTGTGTTTTATTCAATGTATGCGTGAGCAAATTGAAAAATTGCATCAGTTTAACTTCTCCAGGCAGTTAATGTTGGTCTTTTTCTGTCGTTAGAACGAACATGCACATCTATCTCAAATTCAATTTTAAATTGAAAGTAGACAATTTAAAGAATTGTGTTGCTGCTTAAAATACTGGTGACCTTGTAGTAAGACATCTGGACCACGTGGGAATGCAGACATTCCCTCTGGGAGCTCTTAGCTGAGCTGCTAGCCTAGAACTGTTGCACTGTGCGAATATACAAGGTACCTGCAGAAAAAATTCTGTGCGGCAGAGGTATCGCTTTCCTGATTAACATTTTAAATTCTCCGGGGGTTTTTTGAAGTAAGGAATGTTATAATAACATCTGAAAAAGCTCGGAAGTAAAAGACTGGATTATGGTCCTGCCGCTGTATAGGATGCTGCTATTCCACCGTTCCGTTAATAAAAAAACAGGGAAATGCCGCCAGAGGAGCCACAGGCCTTGTTCCCGCCGGGATTCTGTCCCGGCTGCCTTTGTCCTTGTATGCATCAATATGTTGGCTTTGGAGACCTCCACTGGAAGTGGAATATTGCGTGAATACAGTCCGTCTTCACTAGGGGATGGAGAGATGATTCTGCTGGCAGTTGAAACGCAGAATCTTTCATGTGCTGTTAGAAACACTGGGACAGCCTGGAGTTAGAACTCTGCTGCTGTCATTTCATCACAAACTGGTTTTGCTGTCCTGAACTCGTGCTTGGAATGCTTAATCTGTCTCGACTGGGTCACGTGCTGTTTGTAGCTTCTGCTGGAGCTGCTGGGCCTCTTGGATAGAAACACAGCAAACTGCTGGCATCGCGGCTTGTGGCCACCGTACAGCTTTCAGAAAAGAGAGGAATGAGGTGGGGTAGGAGAAGCAAAAGTCCAGGGGTTACATAGGTTCTGGAAAACACTGGGTGGCCTTCCGCAGGAGTCCACTGAAGTGTTATTTGTTAAAGAAAACAGAAAAAGTGGGGAAGGAAATGGAAAGATCAATACTGTACTAAGCAGAATTTCTGATATTTTTTTTCTTGCAGCACAACACTAAATTTGTAATGAGATGGAGTCTGGGTCAAGTTCTTTTCGAGTGGAATTTCCAGATTTTTCTAGCACCATTTTGCAGAAGTTAAACCAGCAGCGCCAGCAAGGACAGCTGTGTGATGTGTCTATTGTCGTCCAGGGCCATCTCTTCAGAGCCCACAAAGCTGTTCTTGCAGCCAGTTCACCGTACTTCTGTGATCAGGTTCTCCTGAAAAACAGCCGGCGAATAGTCCTTCCCGATGTGATGAATCCCAGAGTGTTTGAAAACATTCTTCTGTCTACCTATACAGGCCGTCTGGTAATGCCTGCGCCGGAAATTGTCAGCTACCTGACAGCAGCCAGTTTCCTCCAGATGTGGCACGTAGTGGATAAATGCACCGAAGTGCTGGAGGGGAACCCAACGGTTCTGTGCCAGAAGATGAACCATGGCAGCGACCACCAGTCCCCGAGCAGTAGTAGTTACAATGGCCTTGTTGAAACCTTTGAACTTGGCTCTGGAGGACAGACGGAATTCCACAAAGTGCAGGAACTGAGGGATGGCGAAAATGAAGAGGAGAGCTCTAAAGATGAGCTGTCTTGTCAGCTGACGGAACACGAGTACCTTCCCAGTAATTCTTCAACAGAACACGATCGACTCAGCACTGGAATGACGAGTCAGGATGGCGAAGAAGGAACTAGCGATAGCGCAGAGTACCAGTATACCAGGCCCATGTATAGCAAACCCAGCATCATGTCTCACAAGCGGTGGATCCATGTGAAACCGGAAAGATTTGAACAAGACTGTGAAGGTGTTGATAATCCTTACGATGAACACCAGGTCTCGGAGTCCATGAATGCCGTTCAGGCAGACCATCCGATCCAGTCTTCAGGCGTTGAAGACTTCCACATAGGTGACAAAAAGATGGAAGCGGAATTTGATGAACAGGCAGATGACAGTAATTATGATGAACAAGTTGACTTCTATGGCTCTTCGATGGAAGAATTCTCTGGTGAAAGGGCAGACGGAAATGTAGGTGCTCACAGACAGGATCTTATGATAGCAGCAGGCTACGGCGAAGGCATTGAAATGGCTGCGGGAATTAAAGAAGAAACGTCCCTCACTGGATTCTCGCACGCTGACAAGCTCTACCCTTGTCAGTGTGGTAAGAGCTTTACACACAAAAGTCAGAGAGATCGACACATGAGTATGCACCTTGGTCTTCGACCTTACGGCTGTGGTGTCTGTGGTAAGAAATTCAAAATGAAACACCATCTTGTAGGCCACATGAAAATTCATACGGGCATAAAGCCGTACGAGTGTAACATCTGTGGGAAAAGATTTATGTGGCGGGACAGTTTTCATCGGCATGTGACCTCTTGTACCAAGTCATACCAAGCTTCTAAAGCTGAGCAGAGTACTACTGAGATGAGCTAAGATATTAGTGCTTACGTTCGTTTAGTGGAGTAAGCAAAATAAACTAATTATGCAAATAATGTCTGGTACTTGCTATTGTACATTCTTAAAAACCCAAGTTTTAATGATTATGCTGGTATAAGCAGACCAAACTTTTGGTTTATTTCCACAGTATTACCCTGGGTGTTCGATGTCTGAAGGACAAATGGTTAATCCGAAAGGTGCTCGCGAAGCGCGGCTGTAGGGTCTGCGCAGCATTGATCGGGACTGCAGCAGTGTTTGGAAACCCTGTTCTTTCTTCCAAGTCTTCTCAATTCACAGTAAAATCCAGCTCTGGACTGACAAGTACTTACGTGAGGCAGGCATTAAAGCAGCCCTGCTTAATGAAAACGAGAACTGGGTTGATCAAACCAGGTTACATGATTCACATCTTAATGAAAAAATAGAATTCCACCTCAAACTGGAGGCTTCCAGCATTCTTAAGGTGCATGGTTAGATAGCCCACTGCACTGCTTAGTGAAAGGCCGTGTTAAAGGCGGTTTGGCTTTCCTTTGTCTCTGTCCCATTTTTTATCCATCTGCAGTAAAGCCAGCGTTGTCTCATTATGTGCTGGTTTCTAGAGCCCGCCAAGCGCTTGCGCGAGGGGAGCGCGACAGAAGCTTCAGGCTGTGTCAGGTGTAACTTGGCTTTGCTCCTCCAGGGTCCAGTGTGTGTGACTCCTGGCTTGGCCTGGTTCAGATTGCTACATGGAGAGCTTCTACAAGGGTGTGAAATAAGTTTGCCTTGAGCAAAAAAAAAAAAAAGGTAACATTTGGAACTTACCCAGAATAACGAAACGTGAACTGTAGTTTTCTGTTCGGATTTCTGTGGCTTACTACAGTAGCAAGTACCAAACTCTGGATTCATGAATTGATTTTTTGTTGGTACAAAAACGTCTTTGAGAACTTCTATCTAGTTTTAGAAACTTGCTTTAGGAAAATTATTTAGTGATTGATAGGTATTTATACGTTTAATTCTTTACTCTGTGAATAGTAAGAGCTGTAATGCAGATCCTGGGTACTGAACTACTGTGACTGGTTACGTGTGATCGCAAGCAGCAGAGTTGGTCACCTCTTCAAATGAAGTTGCTTGTGGAAAAAGGTAGAAAGTGTGGTATTTGGGTCTGTTGATGGTACTGCAGAACATGGTACCGTGCTCGTGTCCAAAGTCTGGGTTTTTGCTGGGCAAGTGGCACTTGTGCTTCGTTAGGATGAGGATCCATATGGTGGGTTCTCATCCCTGGAGATAGAGGAGTGTGTGTAGTTCTGAGAGATGCTGCCAGCTCTGCAGGTAGAGTGAATGCATCGATTGTCAAGGTGGCAAGAGGATTTTGGGGTTGAAAGCTCAGTGCAGTCCTGTGCAAAGGCGATTAACCCTTCTCTGTCGCTCACTGAACATGTTGTAAAAAGGACAGAGCCTTCAGAGCGTACACAGGCTGTAGCGGGGAAGGCTGATGTCCGAGGACACTGCTGGTGACATGGGGAAAAGCTAACCAGCGTCGTCGGCCTACGCCTGTCTGCCCCAGTTTACGTACTGGGTACTGCACCACATGGCATAACGTGTGTAACAGCTGAGCCCATACGGTGAAGCAAAACCACACAAAGATAATTACTGTTGAGATGCTTCTTTGAACTCCCAGTTACAAATTGTCTTAAAATACGACCGAACTGTGTCCTGATCCTGAATGTCTGGTACAAGCTGGGGGTTGACTACTCAGTGGGCTGTAATTACTGTAACTTCTTTTCTGGCATTCTATTTACAAACTTTAATTTTTCTTAAGAGGCTCTTAATTCTTAATCTTCTAATGCTTCAGATATTTTTCATATGGAATTTTGTGAAAACAGATGTTCCCAAATACGATGAGCCCATTGCTGGCAATGGGCACGAACGCTCAGCACCACGGAGTTCCTATTCTTAGCACTTAATTGAACTCTACAAGATACCAGGGTGGCCATATATAACCCTTGTAATCAAGGTGACGAAACAGGGATTTGCTCACTCGAACACTGTAACCTGCTCGATGTATAGAAGCACTTTGTATTTAAAATAAACAAAAAACAAACCATAAAACTTTATAAGTATGTTTTTTAAACTTAGAAATTATATTCCCTTTATAGTTTGTTTCCACACTGCTAACACTGTCTTTTTTAATACTAAATAATAATTCTAATGCTTGCCTGTTTACAGGAGTGTAGAGGAAAGGGTTCTTGCACTCAGTGGCCCTGTTTTTCCATTTTCCAAGGCCTTACTACAAACAGGGTGTCATTTCTGCAGGTACCATCGTCACATCTGCGGGAAGGAGTTCCCATACTCATTTCAAGAATGATCTTGCATGTTCCATTAGTTCTCAGCCCCTTCCAAACTGTCACTTCGGTGTTGCATGAAAAGGTTAAGGGTGCCTCTTCCCATTTACCATGGAATGGCTGGTCGGAAATGCCAGGCCAAAAACCACAGTCAAGCAAAAAATTCAGTTAAACCCAGAGCATCCTACAGAGCTGCCAGCAAAACTGGTTCTTTTACGAGCTTGGAATGACTTTTACATGGGACATCTCAAAGTTAAACGTCACTCCTGTTTGCAGTTAGATTACTTGGAGATAAAGCTTTAACATAAAATGTACTGCGAGAGACACTTTAAAGGTTTTATAACAGGTCCAGTAGATCATATTATAGAACCATGTCCTTTTAATGACTTAGCATGAATAGTAACTTTTTCATATTTGCATATTACTGGTTTTCCCCTTATTAGGACACTTGTATTGAAAGTGCAACAAATGCTGCTCCTCTGATGTTGTAGCGCTTGGCTTTCTGATGTTAACTGACGTGGAACTGCTTGCAGGAAAGCACCGGTGTGGTGGTGGTGAGACCTGGTCGAGGGCAGTGATGATTTCAGGGACGCTTACGATAGATGTCTGAATTCCATACCTTTGCTTAGCACAGGCAAAACAGTCGGCTTGTGGTATTTGTCCTGAGTTGAATTTATTGCCCTTTGACAAACTTAGCACTGATTTAGGTAGTGGAGGGGGGAAAAAAAAAAAACACCAACCCAAAAGCATTACCTGAACGCTTAAGGAAGCATCTTTCCTCCCTTTTCCTCCGGCTCAACCAATGTCTAGCACCTCCTCTCCACCCCTGTACCCGCTTCCCTTGTTCTCGCTAAGGGTTGCTCTCGGGCTGTGCCAGTCCTGGGGCGGTGACAGACCGCACCGAGGAATTGGGCTCCTTCCACACTGGCTTGTCTGACGCTTCTCTGCCGTGCTGGGCTGGTCAGTGCTGCTGTCCCTGGTGACACCCGGCCGTAGTCCCTGTCGGGATGTGCCTGTTCCAGCTCAGGTCTCCGATGGGCCTCGGTTATTTTGAGGTGTACCTGCTCCGGCACGTACAGGCCAGCATCCCTTCAGGAGCGGAGCGTGTCCTTCTCCGAGCTTGTCTCTGTAACGTGTCGTCAGTGTCTTCTCCACATGCTTTCCCAAGAGCAGCTCTTCTGTTCTCCATGTGTCTTCCCCAGGGGTATCTTTCCTTACGTGTCCCCCTGCATCTCTTGCTAGCAGCTGCCACCCTTGCTTCAGTACGCTTCAGCAGAGGCACCGTCCGCACCTCCAGCTGATGTTTTGGCACGCAGCGGATTGTTCCCACCAGTTTCGGTGCAGGCGAGAACCTGTTCTGACTGTGACAGGAGGTTCACAACCTTGTGTCACCCTTGCAGCCCCTGCAGCCGTACGTAGCAAACCCAGGTGTGCAGGGGCACCCTCCGTCACGCTCTTAATGTTCGCTAACGGCGTGGTCTTGCCAGGGCACAGGGAACAGTTTCCTGTTTGTGGGGAGGAGGGAAGCAGTCCGTGTATATGTAACACAAACGCATGTGGTACTTTTTGTTAATCTTCCCTTGAGCTTCACTGCCTTCAGTGCTCCGGCTTGGGAACGTCTGTTTCTGTTGCTTGCTGCTGGCCGCAGCAAGGCGAGCGTCTCCTGAAAACCAGAATGCTGCCCGCGCAGGAGGCGCTCGCAGTCTCCTGCTGCTGCAAAGCCATCGTTGGCCGGCCAGTGGTAAGAGCACTGAACGACACGGCAGCTCCTTCTCGCGGGGTTTGTAACCGCGGTGGCGGCTGCCGGGGTGTGGGTAAGTGCCCTTCTGAAAGATGCCGCTGTCGGCAGGGCTGCCAGCTCCGCTGAGGTGTGGCTCTGACCCTTTTGGGGGAGGAGGTTCCCATTTCACGCCCCACCGTCGGGATTAGGGGTGAGCAGTTGGACTCCAGAAGGTACCGTCACCACAGTTTTTTGGCCTTGGCTTATTCCTTCCACCCGAGGTGTTTCTGAGGTTGAGAAACTTTGTCCTGTGCGGAGAGCAGGGCAGATGGTCAGAGGCTGGTGAGTTGGTTCCTCCTTAGCGGAGGAACCCTCGATGTCCCTGCGTTTCTGCGCCTGAAGGAGTGGGGGCAGCGAGGTCTCGTACCCTCCACGCAAGGAGACCGAATCGGGAGAGCCTACGGCAGTGCTTGAGTGTTCTGCGCGTTCTCAAACCAACGCAGGGGAGGGGGTGGGTTGGGTTTTGTCGTTGAGTGCTTCGTTGAATAGCCGGGTTTCTTAGGGGATGCAAGCTGTCAGCGCCCTGGGGGAAAACGCTGGAAAACAAAATGCTCTATTTTTAATGTGATTAAACTGTAGATTCTGATTTTTGCTTGAAGCCTGTGTCTGTCGATTGCTGCTCCTTTTTTGATTATTCATGGGATTCCATATTTCTTCCAGAAATGTAACTGTTTATGCAAGTCAAGTGAATCTTCCTTAATGAGCTATAAGGTTTTATTCTAAACAAGTCATTTATAATAGTAAATTTGCATATCTTGATATTTTGTGAGATGTTATGCCTGTATTGCAGAGGTTGGATAGTTTTGTCTATAAATATCGCTGTCCTGATTGTACAGCATGGTTTTAATTTAATGTTACTGTTCAATATTTTCTTCTTATAGAAGAGTCCCGCCCCCTTTTTTGTATAACATGTTTTAATAAATGTTATCTGTCGACTTTGTAAATGTTTTCT